GTCTTATCCTGGTTACAGTTCTATTTTTAGAAGAAATTACGTTTAGAAACACCTTTTGTACTGATAAGCACCCATGCTTTTTAGCGGAAAAATTGGGTACCAAATTCCCTCAATTTGGCCACTATTTGGCACTATTTGTCCACTATTCGCCGCTATTCGCCACTATTCGAGACTGTTCGCCACTATTCGCACTTTCGCTATTTGCGACTATTCGCTACTCGGGTTTTTCAGACAACCCCTTTGGCAACCCTGCCTGTGAATTCGTGTTGTCGGTATTAATTTTCACAACTTTGTAACTGTGTTGTCCCTAAAAGTTAAATTAACACATTGAAAAGGTAATGGTTTTTTTCCCGAAATTTACCGGCGAAAAAAGAGAACAATCTAAATGATAAAATTGGTTAGGTTTTTATTAAAATTAGCGATGGTTACTTTCAACACTGGGTTACCAAACGCAGAATCTCTTTTATCGGTTTTTTGCAGTACAAACATATGTACACAATATATACCGCAAGAAAAGGCTCTGCCTGAGGGTGATATTGCCTGATGTAATCAATTGCCCACGCGGTTAGATTGTTTTTTCCACGTACAATCGGCCTTGTGGTTGCAACTTGACTTTTTCGCTCGCTATTTGTATATATAGTGGTTCTGCTCGGAAGGGCTGTCGTGAACATTTATTCACATACTCTTTCAGCTTTGAAGTAAATCACATTCAGGCCTGATTTCAATGCAATCCGTTGGCATAACAACCTGTCTAGTAACTAAGAAGTATCATTAGCTTATGTTTAATCGTTTGGAAGAACAGCGAGAATGGAAAAATTTTAGAAGTAACTTTGAACAGTTCATGATTTGGTGACCAATTTTTTTTTGTCCGAGTTTTTTGCCTAATTTCTAACTTAAAAAGTTATTTTATGCAGTTGTTATCGCTACTATTGGCTGTCTATTTTAAGAGGTCATTAGCTATACAGTTGTATATTCTAGGCCGTTTTTATTGCAATTTAAATTATTTGTATGATCGCGGGTCAGCGTTATAATTCCCTTATTTAATTGGACTAACAAATCTCAGGTAATTATTAGCACAAAACTTTCAGAAAATTCTAATGAACTCATCCAGATCAAAAATATTGCCAGACTCTTTGTATACACAAGTTGCAAAAGTTACATCCGCTCAAACAAGACGTAGGTGGCAATTCATTTACATTTTTTGACAGATTGATTTGATCAGTGTTCGATTTATCAAGTCAGGCTAGTAGATCTGCATATAGCACATGAACATAACCACCGACAGCCAAACGGTCGACGAAACAATAGGTTGCCTCTTGTAAAATCGCGCACACTTTTTCTCCACTTCAAATCAAAATGGCAGGCATTCATTTACCGGACATTGGGAAATTGGGAATTCGCATAGCAACAGGAATTCGAGACAAGAAAAAAGTTGGTCCAAGTAACATGGCCGAGAACGCTAGATTTCAAGCGCTGTCATCGCGACTTGACACCGAAAAACATGAGCGAAGCAGAGTCTTGAAAAAAGAGGAGAGACGGATGAAAAGGAAGAAGCATAACATAGACAAACGCAGGCAGGATATTCAAAATAACAAAAAGCAAGAGATACGTGACGGTGTTGACACTAATGACAGAGAGAGATTTCTTCCAATGATTTCTCATCCTAAAACGGCGTCTGTGAATGATTACAAAGATGACTCGTTCAGCGAAGAACGGGACGACTTTGATCAACGTTCCGCAAACAGTCCAACTTTAGCTATCTTTCCCATTCAGGATGAGCTCAGTCGGTTATTAAACAGTGCTCGCGGAGAGAATCGAGCAAGTGAAAAGCGAAAACTTATCCTGCCGTCAATCGAACCTGGCTTGGGAGAGAAATATAGAAAACCTGCTCCACTGAAGAAAAAGACGAGAAAAGATAAAGTTACGAACACGAATGACATCACGTTGGAACGTAATTTTGTGGAAACAGACGTCGCTAGGGGCTCACAAGTATTTCTTAACCCAACAAAGGAAACAGCAATTCTTAGCGTCAGCCATGATGCGTTTAACCCTACCAGGGAAAAACTGGAAGTCGATACAAAAATTTCGTCACAAGCGACAAAAATGGAGCTAGGAAACGAGAACGAAACATACGAACGAATAATAAATGGCACAGAAACGAGTATTGACGAATCAGACCCTTCAGCAAACCCATTTAATTACTTGTTATTGGAACAAGAAAGACGAAGAGCTCTCCATCAAAATTTAGAAGACGCCTTTCGCGCTATACAAGCCTGTCGCTACATCAGAACTCCGAGTCGCAGAGAAACGGCAGATGATAAAATGAACTTATCTGATACAGAATAATTGTCTATTTGCTAGAAATAAAAGTCTTCTTGATAGGATCAACTAAGCCTTTGTCCATAGCCTCTGATAGTCTAGATTTCACTTTTCACTTAATCCATCTTTCGATGAAAATTAATTAAGGTTACAATTTGAATGCAAAGTCCATTTAACTTTTGAGCCGCCAACTTTGCCCGCGAACATTTTTCAATTGGTGAAAAACTAAATTTTCAACCACTTCGGATGTATTTTAAAGTTTTGTTATCTGTTATTTTTAGTACATTCCTGCGTTTCAGAGCTAATAGAATTTTGCATTTTTCTTTCCCATTTGTTTATTTTGTAATGTTGACAAACTGTGGATTTCATTGTTAACACAATTGTCTGATGTATAAGCACTTCACAATATGCATACATTGCACTGTTCATTCATTAGTTTTTTGAGCTGTTTTGATTTCATACCAATTAACTTTTTCGGTTGTATTTACTACATGTTCTGCTCCTCATTTTGCTGGAAAAGCAAGAGCTTTTGATCTATGATTTCCATTAGAACCACGAAAGAAACGAAAGTGTGAGATGCAATGTCAATCTGTGTCTGTCTCAGTTCAAAGCCTTTCAACTTATCATGAGTGATACGCAGACCAAAGCAATCAATCGTCCAATCAGAGTGGGTACGGCTCTAAATCCATGATATGCAATTGCAAGATATAGATACAATATAAGAACACCAACGATGATCGCACTTACGTACGCTTTACATAAATGAGATAATCTCTCATGGTACAGAATTGTGTAGAGTAAGGATGAGTGGCCGCGATCTTTTTGGTCAGCATCTACCAAGAATCGTGTGCTCTGTCACAACTTTAAACTGATCTTTCAAGAATGCGCCTTCTTGAATGCGTAGAATATTTCGTTTTGTATACTCGGCAAATACGTTTCGTCACATTTGACGCGTAGTACTTCCCCTACTCCAGATGTCCCATATCTTGGCGCTGACCAAAAGGATCGCGGTCTCTGGGGACAATGGAAAAACTCCCGCCACTGGAATTTACAAGTGGAGGAGTACTGGGTCAGGCCCTGAGATTATGCCTCTCAGGCTTTCCCATTCTCCCTCGATACCAAGATTCGCTTTCGGTTTCGCGAACTGATGTGCAGCAAGAAAATATGGTCTGGGTCATAATCTCTTCTGCGCAGTAAATCAAACAGAAACTGAACAGTAACAAAATTCAGAAGAACTATGGTTATCAATCTTCATTGTCATATGCATCAGCTTTGTTTGGGCTGTTTCCTTCATTGCATAAGTTCCCTGGACTCAGCGCTTCAGAGTAATAATAAAAAATTTACTCCTTCTCTGAAATTTTCATTATATTCTGTGATTAGGGTCGCAAAGCGCATTACTCGTCAGTCAGTTTAAAAACATTTGCCGGTTATTCAATTAATTACATTATTGCCTTCTAACGGGGGGTATATTATTTCCAGCATAGACTTTTGTTCGCTTTATTTCACGCCCGCAATAAACACAGTTCATGACATGTTGATCATATTAAGGTCAGACCAAATGTAAGGAAACTATTTTCAACACATTGTTATTAATCGATCTCAAATTATTTCGAGGTTTCTGAATTTATAGCAACAAAGGAACAATGGCTTAGCTCCAATTAATTTAGAACACCAACTACTGTATTTTTTTTATTATCTTGGCGGTATAACTGACAGGTATGCCTTGTAGGGGTCCTTCGTAATGGACTTATCTCTGATCGAGTCGTTTGGATACAGGCTGATCTGTAAACTGAGCACGAAAACACCTTTCCTCTCCCCGTAACGCGCACAAAGCTAGGTAGCTCTAGATGACTGCCACGTTAATATTTCAAAAAGCTTTGTTTGTTGGAAAAATTAAAACGAGAGCTCTTTATTGGAGATTAGTTTCGTCTTACTTCGCTTGTTGTCACAAGTTTGGAGCACCTTTTTTGCGGTCAAACTTGAATAAAATTGGCAGCGACAGATCATCTCATTATATAAACTCTTAAATCACTGATAGAGATCGTAAGTAAAAACTTTCACTTCAAATAAACTTGGAGTGCATTCTAATTTTACTTCTAACTCACTTAGCTTTTCAGAGGCAGTTATAACAAGACGAGAACAAACTGAAACACGCTGTCAAAACCCTGTGAACACTGCGTGTTCCTAGCAGTTCTTAAGCCTCCATAATGAAAACTGTTTTAGTTCTCTCGAACAAAGGACATTCATAAAAACAAAAATAGACTGCCTATCTAAATAATAGCACAATGATTTATTTCTAATTACGGGACACTAAGAACTTTGGTGTAGTCGGTACATTTGTTCGTACAGGCGGCTTATTGTCACTTGAGCATTTGGGGCTTGCACAGTTGGTTGAACAGACGTGAGAAAAAATGGAAGAGGCGTCCAAAAACTCTTCGCTTACTTTTAAACAGAGAAATTGTGCTCAAAGAAACTCGCTTCTGCGTCATATGAGCCAAAAGATAAATGCTTCTATACAAAGCCAGCACAATCAGTTTGAAAGAAGCATGGATTTTGAAGCTAAAAAGTTACGGAAAAAGCTCACACTAATGATACCAAATACAGTGAACAATGCAAGAACTCAGACCGCTTGGAAGGAGGAAAATTGCGAAGAGAATGGTCAAAATAAACTTAAGTTACCGGTAATAAAAAAAGAACCAAGCTCGGCGCCATGTTCTCCAACGCTGGTTCAACGAAAATCGCATTTCACTTGGAACAACCTCAACATGTTGCCTCCAAGTCCAAGCCCGTTGATGCTTCGACGAGCGTCATATAACGACATTAGTGACTCGCCAAGAAGTTCACCGGTCATGACGCGTAAGGTAAGTCGGTCCCTTTCATATCGAGATCGCCTGCGTCCTGCATTGATACCGTTGTCACCTCCTCCGCCTACGACAGAAGATGTTAATGGCAGGACTTCGCCATCTTTGGTACCAAGAAACCTCAAGTTAAGGGAACAGGCTCGACGAGAAGGCCTTCACAAAGCGGAGCAAACCGAGATTGAATCGCCACAAAGTCCAACACTAGAAGATCAGTTTAACTCTCTTGGAACTTGTCGGTATCTCCGGCGAGCTACAATAGAAATTGTGGAAACCCTGGCTGCTGAAGAAAAGCATGACACATAAAAGTAACTAGAAAAATGAGCGTCCTTTCCAATTGCAGTGACAGAAGAGAAAATTTATTTTTCCTATGAGCAAGTGGTAGTAGCACTTTGGTATCGCGCTAGGGGTTAGCAGGTACATAGACGACCAATATTTTCATTTGCCACGTTTCTATTGTTTTGGTATTTCAGAGAGGTCTTTTAATCGTGGGCAGAACACTCGAGAAAGAGCGTCATGACAACAGCAGGTTTATATCGAGAAATAAATCTGAGCAGCTTTTAATTCTGGTGCTTGCTGATCGTCAAACGCGTCAACTGATTTCAGCAATGATCACGTTTTATGTTAAATCTGGCTTTGCACAGGGTGCGTGTACATATTATTGCAATTGCAATTGCAATTGCAATTGCGTCTGCCCGGCTGTAAACTGTATTTATGTACAAATTTTAGAATCGATCAACTATATCTTTCAATTGTGAAAATGAACCAAAACAACCGTAAACTCTTCACCCAGCACAAAAGAGTAGCAAGGGCGTTTTAATTTAGATTGTTCAAAACTTAACTTAGCCGTTTAATTAGCCGCCATTCGCATAAATAAGCCAAAATTAATTACGTGCTCAATTATATTATCATTTAAATACCAAAACATCAAAGCAGATACTGCGTTAAATTCCTTCTACTTCTATGACTGACTACCAAAACAATTGCACGCTGCTGTACAAAGCAATATAAATTACTAAAATGCATGGACTTATTTAATTATTCAAGTTTTCATGACATCAGGGGGCGAGCTAAAGACGCCAAACTCTAATTTCTGTTGTTTAGATACATCCATTTATGGATTAAAATATAATAAAATATTTGACTCATTGTTTGGATTGTACATCTCCTTTTCGAATTATTCAAGCATGTAATTACTTTTAAAGCTCTCTGTTGCCTTACAAAATCAGAGCCTGTAGGTAAAAAACCCCTAGGCGGTTCGGAAGTGCGTCAAAACGTTGCTAGCTCCAAAGAACTCGGAGACTCAAAATTACAACGCCTTATCAATCACTGCTTTTGTTGTTTAAATCAAGTTGTTTTAATGCTAACTAGTTTGCATTTACATTAGAAAAAACAGAGGCTTGTATCAAAGCAAGGTCACCTCCAGCCTCGCTTGCATTCACAGGTCAGGTAACTGAGCACACAACCGTCTGTAAAATGGCCTTTTCTCTATTTCCAATATTGCCCATGATTCGCTTAGTTTGGCTTAAAATATTGTTGTGAAATGCTCTTAGGATTTCTCCATATTCCCAAGTGTATTTCACAACAATAATTTTTGTAACATTTGGGGGGCAGACAGTGAATTATGGGCAATTAGAAAATAGAGAATTGCGCGCGCCATGGAAAAACCTATACCGCTAATCAACCTCTTTCCCAGGCTCTGTCTCCTTTGCCTTCCTTGTATGAGGAGAGAGGAAAGAAGAGAGAGTCTGGGATCGAGGTTGCCCGCTTAGACGAAAATGATGTTCAACGTAAAATAAAGTTGTTAAAAGAAAGGAAAACAAACTTGGCTGGAAGAATGTCTTTTATGCAATTTGTTTAGCTTACTATTGGAGCCGACGCTTCCTCGTGAAATCTCGATTAAAAGTAAGACACTTGCAAGCAGATATTGCCATAGGTATTTTATTCACTTTCTGTTAACTGGTATATTTTTTGCCATTAATTTTAATTACTGATTGTCTGCTGGTAGAAAGCAATGTAAATAAGGGATAACATAACATTTTAGTAGCTCGTCTAGAATAAAAGAACTGAAGATTTCAGAAAAAGAGATAAATGCGTACAATTTTTAAGATTTCGTTTAATTTGGAAAAGAAATCTGAAACAGTTATAACCGAATAAGTTAATCCATTACAATAACATTTTCAATTAATAAAACGTAAAATTGCTATCACTGGCTGGGCTTCACAATAGAGACAGATAATTTGCCTCATATGATTGTCCATCTTAAAAGCCAGACTCGCCTAACATCAAAACGGAATGAATACAACTTTGGACGATATTTATCGCACTAATCCGTCCGAGGATAAGGAGAAGTATACGGACATCATCAGTTTTTTCATATCAGACAAGTTATGCGTCTAACACTGTGATAATTGTGTGGCTTTTTGACGTGTTGTCATCAGTTTGTGACAAGTAAGGCTATCCTTTTCGACTGTGAAAACTGCCATTAACATTTCCCGGTGATTTTGTTTAACTAAATTCTTATTACTTTTAGCATTTTTTAGAACATCGTGTAACGGATAGAGAGCTTTGCACCAATAAAAAAATGTATTTTTTACTTCAATTGGCAACTAATGAGTTGACTGGGTGATTCCCTTTTGAACAGAGAAAACAAAAATATATTATTTTATATATTTATCGTGGTCACATTAGTCACATTGACTAACCCTAATTTAACGGAAACAATGTTGCTACAACAGAAACTCTGCCCAAACAGAAACGGTTTTAGATCGAACTCTCACTTGTGAGAATCAGTTGCGCCCGCCATGTGGTCAGCTAGATTGCTAAGTAGCATGGCATATGAGGTATCCTCATGAGGACAACGAGCCGACGTGACGTCACGTCGGGATTACACGTGCTATTAAACTCGGAAACTCCTCNTGAGATGCAATGTCAATCTGTGTCTGTCTCAGTTCAAAGCCTTTCAACTTATCATGAGTGATACGCAGACCAAAGCAATCAATCGTCCAATCAGAGTGGGTACGGCTCTAAATCCATGATATGCAATTGCAAGATATAGATACAATATAAGAACACCAACGATGATCGCACTTACGTACGCTTTACATAAATGAGATAATCTCTCATGGTACAGAATTGTGTAGAGTAAGGATGAGTGGCCGCGATCTTTTTGGTCAGCATCTACCAAGAATCGTGTGCTCTGTCACAACTTTAAACTGATCTTTCAAGAATGCGCCTTCTTGAATGCGTAGAATATTTCGTTTTGTATACTCGGCAAATACGTTTCGTCACATTTGACGCGTAGTACTTCCCCTACTCCAGATGTCCCATATCTTGGCGCTGACCAAAAGGATCGCGGTCTCTGGGGACAATGGAAAAACTCCCGCCACTGGAATTTACAAGTGGAGGAGTACTGGGTCAGGCCCTGAGATTATGCCTCTCAGGCTTTCCCATTCTCCCTCGATACCAAGATTCGCTTTCGGTTTCGCGAACTGATGTGCAGCAAGAAAATATGGTCTGGGTCATAATCTCTTCTGCGCAGTAAATCAAACAGAAACTGAACAGTAACAAAATTCAGAAGAACTATGGTTATCAATCTTCATTGTCATATGCATCAGCTTTGTTTGGGCTGTTTCCTTCATTGCATAAGTTCCCTGGACTCAGCGCTTCAGAGTAATAATAAAAAATTTACTCCTTCTCTGAAATTTTCATTATATTCTGTGATTAGGGTCGCAAAGCGCATTACTCGTCAGTCAGTTTAAAAACATTTGCCGGTTATTCAATTAATTACATTATTGCCTTCTAACGGGGGGTATATTATTTCCAGCATAGACTTTTGTTCGCTTTATTTCACGCCCGCAATAAACACAGTTCATGACATGTTGATCATATTAAGGTCAGACCAAATGTAAGGAAACTATTTTCAACACATTGTTATTAATCGATCTCAAATTATTTCGAGGTTTCTGAATTTATAGCAACAAAGGAACAATGGCTTAGCTCCAATTAATTTAGAACACCAACTACTGTATTTTTTTTATTATCTTGGCGGTATAACTGACAGGTATGCCTTGTAGGGGTCCTTCGTAATGGACTTATCTCTGATCGAGTCGTTTGGATACAGGCTGATCTGTAAACTGAGCACGAAAACACCTTTCCTCTCCCCGTAACGCGCACAAAGCTAGGTAGCTCTAGATGACTGCCACGTTAATATTTCAAAAAGCTTTGTTTGTTGGAAAAATTAAAACGAGAGCTCTTTATTGGAGATTAGTTTCGTCTTACTTCGCTTGTTGTCACAAGTTTGGAGCACCTTTTTTGCGGTCAAACTTGAATAAAATTGGCAGCGACAGATCATCTCATTATATAAACTCTTAAATCACTGATAGAGATCGTAAGTAAAAACTTTCACTTCAAATAAACTTGGAGTGCATTCTAATTTTACTTCTAACTCACTTAGCTTTTCAGAGGCAGTTATAACAAGACGAGAACAAACTGAAACACGCTGTCAAAACCCTGTGAACACTGCGTGTTCCTAGCAGTTCTTAAGCCTCCATAATGAAAACTGTTTTAGTTCTCTCGAACAAAGGACATTCATAAAAACAAAAATAGACTGCCTATCTAAATAATAGCACAATGATTTATTTCTAATTACGGGACACTAAGAACTTTGGTGTAGTCGGTACATTTGTTCGTACAGGCGGCTTATTGTCACTTGAGCATTTGGGGCTTGCACAGTTGGTTGAACAGACGTGAGAAAAAATGGAAGAGGCGTCCAAAAACTCTTCGCTTACTTTTAAACAGAGAAATTGTGCTCAAAGAAACTCGCTTCTGCGTCATATGAGCCAAAAGATAAATGCTTCTATACAAAGCCAGCACAATCAGTTTGAAAGAAGCATGGATTTTGAAGCTAAAAAGTTACGGAAAAAGCTCACACTAATGATACCAAATACAGTGAACAATGCAAGAACTCAGACCGCTTGGAAGGAGGAAAATTGCGAAGAGAATGGTCAAAATAAACTTAAGTTACCGGTAATAAAAAAAGAACCAAGCTCGGCGCCATGTTCTCCAACGCTGGTTCAACGAAAATCGCATTTCACTTGGAACAACCTCAACATGTTGCCTCCAAGTCCAAGCCCGTTGATGCTTCGACGAGCGTCATATAACGACATTAGTGACTCGCCAAGAAGTTCACCGGTCATGACGCGTAAGGTAAGTCGGTCCCTTTCATATCGAGATCGCCTGCGTCCTGCATTGATACCGTTGTCACCTCCTCCGCCTACGACAGAAGATGTTAATGGCAGGACTTCGCCATCTTTGGTACCAAGAAACCTCAAGTTAAGGGAACAGGCTCGACGAGAAGGCCTTCACAAAGCGGAGCAAACCGAGATTGAATCGCCACAAAGTCCAACACTAGAAGATCAGTTTAACTCTCTTGGAACTTGTCGGTATCTCCGGCGAGCTACAATAGAAATTGTGGAAACCCTGGCTGCTGAAGAAAAGCATGACACATAAAAGTAACTAGAAAAATGAGCGTCCTTTCCAATTGCAGTGACAGAAGAGAAAATTTATTTTTCCTATGAGCAAGTGGTAGTAGCACTTTGGTATCGCGCTAGGGGTTAGCAGGTACATAGACGACCAATATTTTCATTTGCCACGTTTCTATTGTTTTGGTATTTCAGAGAGGTCTTTTAATCGTGGGCAGAACACTCGAGAAAGAGCGTCATGACAACAGCAGGTTTATATCGAGAAATAAATCTGAGCAGCTTTTAATTCTGGTGCTTGCTGATCGTCAAACGCGTCAACTGATTTCAGCAATGATCACGTTTTATGTTAAATCTGGCTTTGCACAGGGTGCGTGTACATATTATTGCAATTGCAATTGCAATTGCAATTGCGTCTGCCCGGCTGTAAACTGTATTTATGTACAAATTTTAGAATCGATCAACTATATCTTTCAATTGTGAAAATGAACCAAAACAACCGTAAACTCTTCACCCAGCACAAAAGAGTAGCAAGGGCGTTTTAATTTAGATTGTTCAAAACTTAACTTAGCCGTTTAATTAGCCGCCATTCGCATAAATAAGCCAAAATTAATTACGTGCTCAATTATATTATCATTTAAATACCAAAACATCAAAGCAGATACTGCGTTAAATTCCTTCTACTTCTATGACTGACTACCAAAACAATTGCACGCTGCTGTACAAAGCAATATAAATTACTAAAATGCATGGACTTATTTAATTATTCAAGTTTTCATGACATCAGGGGGCGAGCTAAAGACGCCAAACTCTAATTTCTGTTGTTTAGATACATCCATTTATGGATTAAAATATAATAAAATATTTGACTCATTGTTTGGATTGTACATCTCCTTTTCGAATTATTCAAGCATGTAATTACTTTTAAAGCTCTCTGTTGCCTTACAAAATCAGAGCCTGTAGGTAAAAAACCCCTAGGCGGTTCGGAAGTGCGTCAAAACGTTGCTAGCTCCAAAGAACTCGGAGACTCAAAATTACAACGCCTTATCAATCACTGCTTTTGTTGTTTAAATCAAGTTGTTTTAATGCTAACTAGTTTGCATTTACATTAGAAAAAACAGAGGCTTGTATCAAAGCAAGGTCACCTCCAGCCTCGCTTGCATTCACAGGTCAGGTAACTGAGCACACAACCGTCTGTAAAATGGCCTTTTCTCTATTTCCAATATTGCCCATGATTCGCTTAGTTTGGCTTAAAATATTGTTGTGAAATGCTCTTAGGATTTCTCCATATTCCCAAGTGTATTTCACAACAATAATTTTTGTAACATTTGGGGGGCAGACAGTGAATTATGGGCAATTAGAAAATAGAGAATTGCGCGCGCCATGGAAAAACCTATACCGCTAATCAACCTCTTTCCCAGGCTCTGTCTCCTTTGCCTTCCTTGTATGAGGAGAGAGGAAAGAAGAGAGAGTCTGGGATCGAGGTTGCCCGCTTAGACGAAAATGATGTTCAACGTAAAATAAAGTTGTTAAAAGAAAGGAAAACAAACTTGGCTGGAAGAATGTCTTTTATGCAATTTGTTTAGCTTACTATTGGAGCCGACGCTTCCTCGTGAAATCTCGATTAAAAGTAAGACACTTGCAAGCAGATATTGCCATAGGTATTTTATTCACTTTCTGTTAACTGGTATATTTTTTGCCATTAATTTTAATTACTGATTGTCTGCTGGTAGAAAGCAATGTAAATAAGGGATAACATAACATTTTAGTAGCTCGTCTAGAATAAAAGAACTGAAGATTTCAGAAAAAGAGATAAATGCGTACAATTTTTAAGATTTCGTTTAATTTGGAAAAGAAATCTGAAACAGTTATAACCGAATAAGTTAATCCATTACAATAACATTTTCAATTAATAAAACGTAAAATTGCTATCACTGGCTGGGCTTCACAATAGAGACAGATAATTTGCCTCATATGATTGTCCATCTTAAAAGCCAGACTCGCCTAACATCAAAACGGAATGAATACAACTTTGGACGATATTTATCGCACTAATCCGTCCGAGGATAAGGAGAAGTATACGGACATCATCAGTTTTTTCATATCAGACAAGTTATGCGTCTAACACTGTGATAATTGTGTGGCTTTTTGACGTGTTGTCATCAGTTTGTGACAAGTAAGGCTATCCTTTTCGACTGTGAAAACTGCCATTAACATTTCCCGGTGATTTTGTTTAACTAAATTCTTATTACTTTTAGCATTTTTTAGAACATCGTGTAACGGATAGAGAGCTTTGCACCAATAAAAAAATGTATTTTTTACTTCAATTGGCAACTAATGAGTTGACTGGGTGATTCCCTTTTGAACAGAGAAAACAAAAATATATTATTTTATATATTTATCGTGGTCACATTAGTCACATTGACTAACCCTAATTTAACGGAAACAATGTTGCTACAACAGAAACTCTGCCCAAACAGAAACGGTTTTAGATCGAACTCTCACTTGTGAGAATCAGTTGCGCCCGCCATGTGGTCAGCTAGATTGCTAAGTAGCATGGCATATGAGGTATCCTCATGAGGACAACGAGCCGACGTGACGTCACGTCGGGATTACACGTGCTATTAAACTCGGAAACTCCTCTGCACCAAATCAATTACCTCCGTTGTTTCATTGATCAAAATAAGAACTTGGAACATTTCCGGTATCTCAACGAATTTTAGCGAAACAGTACTTGTATATCGAATGTATTTAATACTGAACACCTCAATTTATCAGTCATTCTTTGCTCGAAGTGAAATTTTAGGAATTGTAGCCCACGTTATTCTTGTCTAAACTGGTTCATTTTTCCATTTTCTCTAAGTATTCCCTGAGGTAGGCAATACAGAGCGGTTGGCGACGGGCGACCAGATTCAAAAGCCTGGCAGGAAGAGCACCTCCAAAGTCAATCTACAGAGAAAGATAGGTAAAGGTAAAGTCTGCTTACGAACCAAGTGGCCCCGCATCAGGCCAGCGTTTATCTCCAGTTTCCGCAGCATGCATGAAGCGTCTAGAAGTATTTCTACTCCCCCCTAGATGGGGTGCTAGTCCATCGCAGGGTTACTCCCAGCATTAAATTCGCCGCTAGCCATTTTAACACCTAGGCGGAGAGAGGTACTGTGAAGGTACAGCGACTTGCCCAAGAGCACAACACAGTGTCCCCGGCCAGGACTCGAACCCGGACCGCTCGATCCGAAGTCGAACGCACTAAGCATGAGGCCACCGAGAGAGGGAACGTGAACAAAACTAAGATCAACCACAAGAAACAAGCATGCAGATGAAACATGAAAAAACAGTCATTTTAAAAGGACGGGAGTTTCTATAAAAGATTAGCCTAGTTAGTATTTTGCAGTGATTAGAGTACATGAAATGCTTATTATCATGATTTTCTGGCCCAGAATAGGACTAAAGTTGTCCACGCATTTCTGTCTCAATTTGCAATTTCATAGCTTATCTGATCAATGGTTTGATTAAATTCACTTTCGTTCAGTAAATGCATGTTTAAAAAAGTTCGAGTTCTACTACTCGGATGCATTGAAAAAGAAACGGTTAACCCTTTTAAACTAAGTCCCACGTATGTTTCACGGCAACTAAATAATCGAACTTTTCCACAATCTCACCAATAACATTTTACCGTAACATTTTAACGATTTATCACCTGTGACAGATACGACACCATAGAATACAGCTGTCCATTTTGTAGCACGGGCTCAATTATCCAGCCACTCGAGTGAATCTGGGAAGAAATGGATGCGGATTAATAATTGCACGGGTTAACCACACATATCAAAAGTGCCGAAACATTTATGACGTTTGCCTTCCGGTTCCCTGTAAAAAACGGTAACCCGAGACAAACCCCTGTTGTTCGAGAGAAAAATGGCGCCCACACTCGCGAGCAGTCGGCAGCACGACGATGTTTCGTGAAAGAATCGGCTCAGGCTCGGGAATGATATCAATCCCGCCTCGTTTCTTTGTTTACAATATTTGTGTAATTAGCATATTAAGCGATACCGTTTCTGATGGAGCTACAAAAACATTAGTTCTGAATACTGAAAGGGTACAGCGCGGTTAACTGTCCCAAAGAATTTGAGCCCGATGTATTGAATGCATTTTGTGCGACGCGGCTTCAAAATCTCAAAATTTTACAAAGAAAGTATGAGCTCATTAGCGCTTTTGCCACCCAGAAATTTAGCAGTTTTTGAAAGCCAATTTCTCCTTGAATATTACACCAAAACAGCCAAACTTCTCACGAATTACTAAGTTCTTCAAGCCCTTTAAATGTTTGTAGTCAATTCTTGTCTAGCGTCATGCCTTCTCTGCGCAAAGCCGTTTGTTAATGAGGAAAAATGTAACCAAAGATGTCAGCAAAAGATTCGCCTATAAAAACAATCTAAAAAAAATTGTCTTACCGTTCCTCTGATTATTTCCTTGGTAGGTGGTAACTCCGGCATATCAACTGACGTGGCAGCTAAAACATATCTCTCAGGCTACGAAAGAATATAATTATCAACTTCGGTTAAATTTTTTTTTTTTTTTTTCATTATTCATTGCTTCTCCCTAATTGGGGAAAAACTACAGGCCCCAGTTGTTCGAAGGCTGGATAACGCTATCCACCGGATAAATCACTAACCAGTGGATAAGGATCAACAACACAAATCACGCTAATCACCACTGTAAACTCACCTCCACACGCTCTGCAGCCAGCACAACAAAATCGCGCGACTGCTTCACGAAGCACTGTGTTGTTTCGTGATGTAGATAAACTGTAAAGACAAAAAAAAGGCTTTAAATCTGCTGGAAGAAAACAGTGACAATCAATACTGCTTTTTCGCGTAAAAGCGACTTTCCCGGCGTTTATCTAATACGTGACTGAAAACAAAAACCCGACACACAAATCTCACGAGAACTCTGAACTGCATTTAAAACTTGAAGGAATTCAGATCATCTTTTCATTCACCTTGAATTTACTTACAGCTCAGCAATGTAATTTGAAATGTTTTTAAGTCGCTACAAAATCACTTTTGCAGAAATATGATCAAACTTCTCCTTACACGTTAACGCTCCTTATGCGCGGAAATTCAGAACCGAGTGAAGCCACAACCTTTAGTCGGCGCACACGGCGCACACTAAGAACACGTTCATTCGTTGTTCCTGCGCACACACACTCACTAACGTCCCGGATGTACATGTGCTCGCCGTCCTAATACGTAAGAGCCAACCAGAAATATGAGTATCTGCAACGTCATCAGTATTGAATTTTTCGGGTCCAGTCTCTCACAAGAATTGAGCCAGAGAAGAGAATGAGGTCTATTACCCAGGATGTTTCCTAATTCATGACTTAAGTTATAAACTAACGTAACCCACTTACTTATTTTTGTTTGATCATCGACTTGTCTCACCAACTTGATTTTCTTGAACATGAAAGTAAAACACAGGCATCAGCAAGAATTTAAACAGGCAAAGCAAAAAGCAAATCCTGGCTAACAGTAGGGAACACAACTGCCGTTTACGGCGGATCGTCGCCGAAGTTTTTGAAGAGAAGTTTATAATTAGCGTTTTTCGCTTATAAAAGAAAAGGAACTTCCAAAAGAGAAGCAATTTGCTGTGAATAAATTATGTTCATTCTAGTCTGTCCAGAGACTTTTTTTTGCTATGAGTTATTTTTGTTCAAGGGCGTGAGCGCTGAAAGCTGAAAAAATATTTTGTCTACTTTTGTCTTTCCCAAGGACCACCAACTGGCGTCCGGGCTTTTTCAAATCCCCTGCAGCATAGTTCATGAAGGGAAATGGTTATGAAACCTGGTAAAATTCTTTGTTCTAAGTTTTTGTTGGCTATTTTTAGAGCTGACCCTGCACAAAACCTTGCAAAATACAAAAGGTGGTTATGTGTACTCATACATATAGCCAATAGAAGCATTGCCATTATGTAATGCACGTACAGTCAATGAGCACAAAACAAAAGATGTGCAGGGTCAAGGACCTTTCAACATGAATCTTAGCCTGTTTGTTGGCATCTCTGATGTTTACCGGCCTTCCTAACCATTTCCCTCTATTAACTATGCCTGCAGTTATACTTTTGCTCGCGATGTCGACAACTCCGGACAATATAGAGGCTCTGTGGACAGAGCGTTTTCATTCATTCACCTTTAGCATTCTGTCATACACGTGACGGGTCATGTGATTTCGGACAGCTTGCCACACTGTTGGCGGTTTTGCTTTGATCATTCCTTTACCTAAGAAACTGAAAGGAAGACGAAATTGACTCCACTACATCATGTATCTCCGAGAACAAATTGTCTATGATCTGTGTACAACTAAGCTCTTCAAATACATGTACTCATTGACTAAGCACGTACTGAGAAAATATGGGAGGGTTGACATCATCTGGTTGTCAAACGAGCGAATAAACATCTCTGAACGACTCCCATGACAGTTTTAGAACGCAAAAATACTTTAGCGTGCGAGCGTGACATGCGAGCGTTGTCGATCAACGAAACTGAGTATTGTGTTTTTGGTACATGGCTCAACAGAGACTAGAATAGTGATGACACGCAAAGCAAAAAAAAAAAAAGTGAAAAACGATCCCTAGGAGGTTTAACCCTCTTCCTCCCTGGCAAGCGAAAAAGAGACTATTCCATTCATAGGTTGTCACGTCAAAAAGAGAATAAAAAAAGCACTGAACCTGTTTATTTTCTCTCCTGGATTGATCTTCCTTAATATGACGACGTCTTTTTCAATGCTCTGATAACTACAAAGGAAAGGAAAACAGGAGAGTAAGGATAACACACAGGTATTGAACACGGCAGACTTGGGGGAAAAAAACGAGAGATAGGCTGAACGCCGAGCTATGAAATAAAACAGATAACTACAAAGATACATAAATAAATAAATAAATAAATAAACAAACAAACAAACAAACAAATAAATAAATAAACAAACAAACAAACAAACAAATAAATAAATAAAACCTCAACTAAAGAATTATGGTAAATATGCACCTCAAAAAAATAAATTCAGCACAGATATGTTCATCAGTTTTTCAGACATCTGTTGACATGAAATATTGAAGCTAGGTAGTTTTCGCAGCATCTTTCGCTACGTAATCAATTTTTTTTCTACGACTTTGTAACCCCGCGGGTAACCAAACACCCTTATTGTCCAACTTTCCCGATATTTGTATGTAGAAGATCGGTTTAACAGGATATATATAGTCCTCTTATTCTTTCCGGGCTGACCGCGCGAAAGCGTCAAACTTGATTCAAAGCCAGGATCTGGGAAGAGAATTAGTTGCACGGGCTTGAAGAAAAAAAACAAACACAACAATACTAAGCACCTTTTTCGATGTCTGTCAGTAAACTGCATCATTTTGGTAACAGTGTAAACAATTTACCTCCACTCTCGCTCTCTAGAAACCATTTCACTCAATTCCTCGGACATGGATATCTCTACTTTAGAAGCCAATAACACCTGAAAAAATGTCATGATCAACTCTTTGTTTCTCTTAACAACGCCAACACGTTATCAAACAAACATATCAGTGGTGAGAGTATGGAAAACCATTACCCGGGAGAAGAAGAAATTCTTAAACCTAATATTAAACCATGGCATGTTACCCAGCAATCTTTTTGACGAGAGCTGCTGTCTACAGATCATACTTCCGGAAGATGAAAATTTGACCGCCGAGAGAATGTGTACCTTCGGTACTCAGCTACCAACACCATTTCTCCCCCATTCTTCCCCGCAAGACACACAAAACAAGGAAGGCATAAGAGGAGGCAGACGTCTGAGACCGACTCAAGAAGAGACAGACGCCGGAGGAATTTGAAAACGGAGTTTTCACTCTGAAAAAGCATCAAATGTTTTTCGTCCACACTACGCTGGAGGAATCTGAAAACGCTAAAATAACCCGTCAAAATGGATTTGTGTTTGAGGAAAACTCGGGCACGGGAATATCAAGGTTATTGTAACGTTATCTTTTTCGAAAAGCTTGGTTTTTAAAATGTTTTCCGTCCACACTAAAACGCAAAGCCGGCGTTTTCAAATTCCTCCGGTTTGAAGACCGTTTTCGAAATGCTCCATTTTCGTGACGGATAAAGTGTGGACGGTAGGCCTAACCGTAGAAATAAAGCTGCGTTTTCGTGACGGGTTAGTGTGGACGGTAGGCCTAACCATAGAAATAAAGCTCCGTTTTCATGACGGATTAGTGTGGACGGTAGGCCTAACCGTAGAAATAAAGCTCCGTTTTCAAACTCCTCCGGCGTAGTGTGGACAGGGCCTGAGAGTTCAGTGGTAGCGTTAAACAGATTTATTTACTTCTGCTTTTTTATTCATTAAAATAAAAGCATAATCGTACAACTCCTCGCTATAACATATACTCTTATTACTTACCTCTCCTAACAGATTAGCGGCTGCTTGACTGCCGAGAGTTCGATAATCAATGTGATGTCTGTCCACTATCAAAACAAAACAAACAAACCAGAGTAAACAAAAATATTCATGTGCTACTTCTCGAAATCGGAAACATTCGGGTCGTTTTCGGAAAATCCCGAACATCTTCGTGGGCAATTGTTGGATCCTCTCGTAGATAACAGACAATAGACACCATAACCACCTGTGACATCAATAACATTTTTGCTTTCAGAGCTCAGTAATTTGGCAGTAAAATGATTTATCAGAGTGATTGTTTATACACTCACGCTAGGAACAGATTCTTTCTTTCTCAAAAATTTCCCGTAGCGTGTGAGTAAGGCGAAGTGATGAAAGTTTCAAGCAGTAAACAGAATGAGCCGCGACAATCTTGGCCCCACTCCATCTCGGTCTTACCGTTGATTTGAATGATATGATCGCGAGTAGTACATCTTGAGGGTTCTTTTCCAAATTCCCGACGAGCACCCCTGTCCTCTTTATATGGGCGTCCCCCCGGGGTTTCGTTCACGTCACGCCGGAAAACAAATGAAAAAGGAGTCACTGCTCGTAATCTATTACCTCGTTTGACAACCGTTATAGAGAAACAAAAACATTTCAATCTTTCTGCCAAATTCTTACCAAGAGGAAGCTGCATGTTTTCTTCTGTGGTTGGAAACATTTCTCCTGAGTCCTGCGGCACGTTGGAAAAATACAAGAGTTGAACATGGAACTCTTAAAAAGACCCTACACAGAACTCTAGTACGTGATCTTATCAATCATGACAAAATTTCTACATAGTACGAGAACACAGAACGACAACAGTGTATTCACAAGTGAAAAGAAACGTGACAAAAGGAAAGACTGCATTTGCGTTATGAGTCAAAAACATATCCTGCATCAAAACAGACATGGTAGCGGGATCACACTAGCATGTCTCTTACCGAAATGACACTCCTTTCCTCCATGTCAATACATGACTGTAAACTTTCACCGTTTTGTTTTTCCACTAAACTCCAGCCGTGTAGAGATCCCTTTTCCTCGCATTCAGCGGCGGCCCCCTCCCGCTGCGGGTTTCGAGTTTCCTTGACTTTCATAAGCTCCACCCATAAATCAGCGCCTTGTTTTTGGAGTTGTGACATCCCGTCCACACTGTCAGATTTCACATCTGCCTGGTAAAGCGCTTCTAACTTGTCGCGTAGGACCGCGACAGCCTGGGGCTGAGATGCCGTCACTCTATTCACAAGTCGAGCTGGGAGATTTCCTAATCGCAAACAACACACACCTCTTAACAACAACAACAACAACAACAACAANACGGTAGGCCTAACCATAGAAATAAAGCTCCGTTTTCATGACGGATTAGTGTGGACGGTAGGCCTAACCATAGAAATAAAGCTCCGTTTTCATGACGGATTAGTGTGGACGGTAGGCCTAACCATAGAAATAAAGCTCCGTTTTCATGACGGATTAGTGTGGACGGTAGGCCTAACCATAGAAATAAAGCTCCGTTTTCATGACGGATTAGTGTGGACGGTAGGCCTAACCATAGAAATAAAGCTCCGTTTTCATGACGGATTAGTGTGGACGGTAGGCCTAACCATAGAAATAAAGCTCCGTTTTCATGACGGATTAGTGTGGACGGTAGGCCTAACCATAGAAATAAAGCTCCGTTTTCATGACGGATTAGTGTGGACGGTAGGCCTAACCATAGAAATAAAGCTCCGTTTTCATGACGGATTAGTGTGGACGGTAGGCCTAACCATAGAAATAAAGCTCCGTTTTCATGACGGATTAGTGTGGACGGTAGGCCTAACCATAGAAATAAAGCTCCGTTTTCATGACGGATTAGTGTGGACGGTAGGCCTAACCATAGAAATAAAGCTCCGTTTTCATGACGGATTAGTGTGGACGGTAGGCCTAACCATAGAAATAAAGCTCCGTTTTCATGACGGATTAGTGTGGACGGTAGGCCTAACCATAGAAATAAAGCTCCGTTTTCATGACGGATTAGTGTGGACGGTAGGCCTAACCATAGAAATAAAGCTCCGTTTTCATGACGGATTAGTGTGGACGGTAGGCCTAACCATAGAAATAAAGCTCCGTTTTCATGACGGATTAGTGTGGACGGTAGGCCTAACCATAGAAATAAAGCTCCGTTTTCATGACGGATTAGTGTGGACGGTAGGCCTAACCATAGAAATAAAGCTCCGTTTTCATGACGGATTAGTGTGGACGGTAGGCCTAACCATAGAAATAAAGCTCCGTTTTCATGACGGATTAGTGTGGACGGTAGGCCTAACCATAGAAATAAAGCTCCGTTTTCATGACGGATTAGTGTGGACGGTAGGCCTAACCATAGAAATAAAGCTCCGTTTTCATGACGGATTAGTGTGGACGGTAGGCCTAACCATAGAAATAAAGCTCCGTTTTCATGACGGATTAGTGTGGACGGTAGGCCTAACCATAGAAATAAAGCTCCGTTTTCATGACGGATTAGTGTGGACGGTAGGCCTAACCATAGAAATAAAGCTCCGTTTTCATGACGGATTAGTGTGGACGGTAGGCCTAACCATAGAAATAAAGCTCCGTTTTCATGACGGATTAGTGTGGACGGTAGGCCTAACCATAGAAATAAAGCTCCGTTTTCATGACGGATTAGTGTGGACGGTAGGCCTAACCATAGAAATAAAGCTCCGTTTTCATGACGGATTAGTGTGGACGGTAGGCCTAACCATAGAAATAAAGCTCCGTTTTCATGACGGATTAGTGTGGACGGTAGGCCTAACCATAGAAATAAAGCTCCGTTTTCATGACGGATTAGTGTGGACGGTAGGCCTAACCATAGAAATAAAGCTCCGTTTTCATGACGGATTAGTGTGGACGGTAGGCCTAACCATAGAAATAAAGCTCCGTTTTCATGACGGATTAGTGTGGACGGTAGGCCTAACCATAGAAATAAAGCTCCGTTTTCATGACGGATTAGTGTGGACGGTAGGCCTAACCATAGAAATAAAGCTCCGTTTTCATGACGGATTAGTGTGGACGGTAGGCCTAACCATAGAAATAAAGCTCCGTTTTCATGACGGATTAGTGTGGACGGTAGGCCTAACCATAGAAATAAAGCTCCGTTTTCATGACGGATTAGTGTGGACGGTAGGCCTAACCATAGAAATAAAGCTCCGTTTTCATGACGGATTAGTGTGGACGGTAGGCCTAACCATAGAAATAAAGCTCCGTTTTCATGACGGATTAGTGTGGACGGTAGGCCTAACCATAGAAATAAAGCTCCGTTTTCATGACGGATTAGTGTGGACGGTAGGCCTAACCATAGAAATAAAGCTCCGTTTTCATGACGGATTAGTGTGGACGGTAGGCCTAACCATAGAAATAAAGCTCCGTTTTCATGACGGATTAGTGTGGACGGTAGGCCTAACCATAGAAATAAAGCTCCGTTTTCATGACGGATTAGTGTGGACGGTAGGCCTAACCATAGAAATAAAGCTCCGTTTTCATGACGGATTAGTGTGGACGGTAGGCCTAACCATAGAAATAAAGCTCCGTTTTCATGACGGATTAGTGTGGACGGTAGGCCTAACCATAGAAATAAAGCTCCGTTTTCATGACGGATTAGTGTGGACGGTAGGCCTAACCATAGAAATAAAGCTCCGTTTTCATGACGGATTAGTGTGGACGGTAGGCCTAACCATAGAAATAAAGCTCCGTTTTCATGACGGATTAGTGTGGACGGTAGGCCTAACCATAGAAATAAAGCTCCGTTTTCATGACGGATTAGTGTGGACGGTAGGCCTAACCATAGAAATAAAGCTCCGTTTTCATGACGGATTAGTGTGGACGGTAGGCCTAACCATAGAAATAAAGCTCCGTTTTCATGACGGATTAGTGTGGACGGTAGGCCTAACCATAGAAATAAAGCTCCGTTTTCATGACGGATTAGTGTGGACGGTAGGCCTAACCATAGAAATAAAGCTCCGTTTTCATGACGGATTAGTGTGGACGGTAGGCCTAACCATAGAAATAAAGCTCCGTTTTCATGACGGATTAGTGTGGACGGTAGGCCTAACCATAGAAATAAAGCTCCGTTTTCATGACGGATTAGTGTGGACGGTAGGCCTAACCATAGAAATAAAGCTCCGTTTTCATGACGGATTAGTGTGGACGGTAGGCCTAACCATAGAAATAAAGCTCCGTTTTCATGACGGATTAGTGTGGACGGTAGGCCTAACCATAGAAATAAAGCTCCGTTTTCATGACGGATTAGTGTGGACGGTAGGCCTAACCATAGAAATAAAGCTCCGTTTTCATGACGGATTAGTGTGGACGGTAGGCCTAACCATAGAAATAAAGCTCCGTTTTCATGACGGATTAGTGTGGACGGTAGGCCTAACCATAGAAATAAAGCTCCGTTTTCATGACGGATTAGTGTGGACGGTAGGCCTAACCATAGAAATAAAGCTCCGTTTTCATGACGGATTAGTGTGGACGGTAGGCCTAACCATAGAAATAAAGCTCCGTTTTCATGACGGATTAGTGTGGACGGTAGGCCTAACCATAGAAATAAAGCTCCGTTTTCATGACGGATTAGTGTGGACGGTAGGCCTAACCATAGAAATAAAGCTCCGTTTTCATGACGGATTAGTGTGGACGGTAGGCCTAACCATAGAAATAAAGCTCCGTTTTCATGACGGATTAGTGTGGACGGTAGGCCTAACCATAGAAATAAAGCTCCGTTTTCATGACGGATTAGTGTGGACGGTAGGCCTAACCATAGAAATAAAGCTCCGTTTTCATGACGGATTAGTGTGGACGGTAGGCCTAACCATAGAAATAAAGCTCCGTTTTCATGACGGATTAGTGTGGACGGTAGGCCTAACCGTAGAAATAAAGCTCCGTTTTCAAACTCCTCCGGCGTAGTGTGGACAGGGCCTGAGAGTTCAGTGGTAGCGTTAAACAGATTTATTTACTTCTGCTTTTTTATTCATTAAAATAAAAGCATAATCGTACAACTCCTCGCTATAACATATACTCTTATTACTTACCTCTCCTAACAGATTAGCGGCTGCTTGACTGCCGAGAGTTCGATAATCAATGTGATGTCTGTCCACTATCAAAACAAAACAAACAAACCAGAGTAAACAAAAATATTCATGTGCTACTTCTCGAAATCGGAAACATTCGGGTCGTTTTCGGAAAATCCCGAACATCTTCGTGGGCAATTGTTGGATCCTCTCGTAGATAACAGACAATAGACACCATAACCACCTGTGACATCAATAACATTTTTGCTTTCAGAGCTCAGTAATTTGGCAGTAAAATGATTTATCAGAGTGATTGTTTATACACTCACGCTAGGAACAGATTCTTTCTTTCTCAAAAATTTCCCGTAGCGTGTGAGTAAGGCGAAGTGATGAAAGTTTCAAGCAGTAAACAGAATGAGCCGCGACAATCTTGGCCCCACTCCATCTCGGTCTTACCGTTGATTTGAATGATATGATCGCGAGTAGTACATCTTGAGGGTTCTTTTCCAAATTCCCGACGAGCACCCCTGTCCTCTTTATATGGGCGTCCCCCCGGGGTTTCGTTCACGTCACGCCGGAAAACAAATGAAAAAGGAGTCACTGCTCGTAATCTATTACCTCGTTTGACAACCGTTATAGAGAAACAAAAACATTTCAATCTTTCTGCCAAATTCTTACCAAGAGGAAGCTGCATGTTTTCTTCTGTGGTTGGAAACATTTCTCCTGAGTCCTGCGGCACGTTGGAAAAATACAAGAGTTGAACATGGAACTCTTAAAAAGACCCTACACAGAACTCTAGTACGTGATCTTATCAATCATGACAAAATTTCTACATAGCACGAGAACACAGAACGACAACAGTGTATTCACAAGTGAAAAGAAACGTGACAAAAGGAAAGACTGCATTTGCGTTATGAGTCAAAAACATATCCTGCATCAAAACAGACATGGTAGCGGGATCACACTAGCATGTCTCTTACCGAAATGACACTCCTTTCCTCCATGTCAATACATGACTGTAAACTTTCACCGTTTTGTTTTTCCACTAAACTCCAGCCGTGTAGAGATCCCTTTTCCTCGCATTCAGCGGCGGCCCCCTCCCGCTGCGGGTTTCGAGTTTCCTTGACTTTCATAAGCTCCACCCATAAATCAGCGCCTTGTTTTTGGAGTTGTGACATCCCGTCCACACTGTCAGATTTCACATCTGCCTGGTAAAGCGCTTCTAACTTGTCGCGTAGGACCGCGACAGCCTGGGGCTGAGATGCCGTCACTCTATTCACAAGTCGAGCTGGGAGATTTCCTAATCGCAAACAACACACACCTCTTAACAACAACAACAACAACAACAACAACAACAACAACAACAATAATACTAATAATAATATAATTATAATAATAATAATAATAATTCATTCATCCACCCCCTCACCCCCATGGTTCTCACCCTTAACAAGTAAAACCTCGTCTGTCTTGCACTTTTGAAAAAAGGCTTTGACAGAAAACTGTTATTACCTGCAAGTGATAACTGACATGATATTTGCGCAGAAAAAATGCTGTGTACGTTTTTGCTAAGATCCCCTCTACCCTTACTTGTCCTCCTTTTCAGGTCGGGTTAAGCCCGTGATTACACACCTATAGTAACCGCTTAACGTGCAAAACGCTTAAATACAACACGAAGGACTAAAATCAACCTACCTTTCAAATCAACGCGTGTAAGGTACGTAACAAGACAACGAGGAGGGTCCGAGCTCAGTTCCTTTACCACAAAACCTGCAATGATGACCTCACCCCTGAAACAACAAACGAAAATATCACTGATGAAGGCTGTGAGGCAAACACTCTTTACGAGTAACACCTACTCGACGCTGAAAGTACTGAAAAACAACAAGCCAAGTTTATTACAAACCTCACAAGTCCTCTCTTTTCAGGACAGTTCTCGTGCTCCACCTGCAAAACATGACAAAAAACGATTTATTTGCAGCAGTCGTTTCGTTTCGCCGCTGTCCGACTCCTTTGACTGTTGAGATGATACGAATCTATTTGAAACTTTCGGCGCCTTCACCATTTCCAAGGTATGTGATCATGATCTGAGCCTTGCCGTAAACTTCCGAAAGTAACGAACTCGTTACTTTTCGAATTGGCAGCCTTTGGGGCTCGCTACTTTTGGGGGTCATTACTTTCGGTGGGTCGTTACTTTCGGGGAGCAAAAACCGTCATATAAAATTGCTGCGACTGTGCTCTTTTTACGACACAAAATACGGAAATTCGTAAAAAGAATGTTCTTAAAACTTGACGTGAAATTCTTCGTTCCAGTTTAAACTTATGCTGCTGCCNGGGGGGGGTGTGGCGCTCTTCGTCTTCATGTTGTCGACAGGAAAGCTAGTAGGTTCCCACCTCATGACGCACTACTATGTTAGTCTGCTGTATCCATGTCTCAGTGCGCTGGTCGAGTTTTCAATTGTAATTTTAAGAAACGTTCGCCTTTAAATACCCCCCTGTTAAAAATGACATGGACTTTTCAATTTCCTGTTAGTACGTTCCTGTCACTTGATAAAATTCTCCGGGTTTTGTTTCAAAACGGCGCAGCATAAACGGATGAAGCACGAAATGACTTTCCACTTTCGTGGCATAAGCGATACCTTCCCTTGTTTAATTATCAACTAGTACCGTACCTAACTTCCACTTGACCATTGATTGGACAAATAAACATCCTTTGAGCCTTGGTCTCACTATTTTTAGGGGGTGGGGTGGAGGTGGACTCGTTACTTTCAGGGGGTCGCTACTTTCGGGATTTACTACCGGCCACAATTGTTTGACGTTACTTTCGGGAGGTCGCTACTTTCGGGGAGTCGTTACTGTCGTAAGTTTACGGTATTACATCTGATCTAGTAGTTAGCCGGTTTAAAAACATTGCGACCTTTCGCAAACTGAGTAAAATTCCCAGAGAAGGAGTAGTAAAGGACTTCAGACACAATAAAGATTTCCAAACGCATTTCCTACCGCCTCAGAAGCCAAGCCGAAAACACCCTCAGCGAGCTCTCTGATAAGAATTGTCGAGCAGAAGTCACGACCGCTTGCTGGCCATACTGGCTTATATTCCATTCGGTTCACCTAATATAAACGAAAAAAAAATCTTGTCATGATGCTAAAACATTCGTGTCAGCATGTTATGTTAGGCACAAATAATTCCATACGATGCATAAAAACACTTAACAATTAGTTTAAAATGGCTGTGGTTTTTCTTGTATCCGCTCTCACGCAATGGAGGAGCGTTGTGTGACGAGCCAAATGCAAGCGACTGCATATTCCCACGCGCACATAACCACATGATGTTAACCTGATGTCAGGATCCTAAACGATTGACTTTTATAGCTAAAGCCATTAAAAGGACTTCGCTCTTCAAAGGAGCTCAAATATACATTACACAAACAAAACGTCGTAAATAACAAAACTTATTGTATCTCCGAGTTAGTGCGCGCGTTGTGATTGGTCAATTTAGCAAGCCGTATTCTTCTGTACGGCCCGCTAAAATTTAAAGCTGTTTTTGTTGCCAAAATGTTTCGTGATTTATCGCCAAGTGTTCTTGACTTTTGTAACAAATAAAAGTTTAACACTTTCTTTTACTTCTGGAATTGTGTATTAAAACCTGCTAACGACTTAAGAATCACTGAAAAACGATTTCGAATTGACTCGTTTTGCTTTCGAGGTGCGTCAGAAATTTGAAACCGTTCTGCGTGAATAGAAATCGTTTCCGAACCCGTCAGAAACACAGTACAGATATAATACCGTAAATATCTTCCTAACCTCGTTTTCCGGTCCGTACTGTAAGTTACGGATCCTCGTTTATGGCCTGCGCGCGAAATGGGAAAAACACTCGGTCTGTAACTTACAGTAGGAACCTCAAACTCGGTTAGTGAGAGGTATATACGGGTTTTTTAATTAGTAAAAAAATTAGAGTATCCTGGGTAGCAAGTGTTCCTTTGGAGCGAACGAGCAAAGTCTAGCCGCGCGAAAATTGGGACAAGAGCAAAAACTGATGGAGAGAGGGCTGAACCCGCCACTCCCGACTCCGTCAATTTTTTCCTCAGTTTCGCCCCTATTTTCGCGCGTCTAGACTTTGTTCGTTCGCTCATTCCTAGGGAACGATTACTGCGCAACACTGCACTGAATAAGATTACCTTTGTAATAGGGTCATACTGCTCCACAACTTCACCTGTGAAATAAATTCCCAATTTATTAGCAGAAAACGCAGGTCAAAAATAAAAGCAATGACCCGTCCATTCAACCCAAAAATTCCAGAACTTTCAAAGTGAAAACTGAACACGAACTGAAAATTCAAACTTGTAAAAATGTGGACAGTTCGATACCAAATACTTGACGCACTTCTCTAATGCGCGGCTACCAAGCACTCTTCGAAGATAAAATATGGCCGAAGAAGAACCTGAACCGGCGAAAGCGGAGTATTGGACAGAGCGATGGAAGGAAGGTAAAATTGGCTGGCATAGAGAAGAAGTAAATGAATACCTCATCAAGTACGTGGATGAACTCACTGGTGGAAGGTCAAACCTACGAGTGTTCCTTCCCCTGTGCGGGAAGTCCGTCGATATGCTGTGGTTAGCTGATCAAGGGCACACTATTGTGGGAGTGGAGGTAGCTAAGCAAGCAGTTGAGAGTTTCTTCACTGAAAATAACCTGACTTTTACGGTGGAGTCAGTGAAAATGGCCGCAAGCGGCGAGCCAGCCAAAGTCTACAAGTGCAAAGAAAAGAAGATCACAATCTTTTGCTGTGATTTGTTCACCTTC